CGTAAGTCGATTTCGAGTCACAGAATTTAGTCACGGAACTCTATGAGGTCTCTCTGTGTCGTTTCCGAACACCCCGTAGAAACGAGCGATGCACAATGTGAATACCTCACGTGCCTTCTTCGGCGACGCCGCGCATTTCCATTCCGTACTGAGAAAGTATCTCGACGTCGCGCGGATCGAGATGAGAACGAAGCTCGATCCTTTGTCACTTCCGTCAGTAAGCTGTCCTTTTTGTCTTAGTCGCCAAGAATAACAGCGGACACATCGCTGAGTCAGGATACCTAGAACACGTCATTACTCTTACAAAGTGACTTGAAAATTAGTGGAAAGCGTTGCGAACCAAACCGATGGCAATCTCACGCGAATTTCTTCTGTTTTCTATTTCTCTCTTCCTACTTTCGTTTTCGAAAACGACGTCTTGCTGTTACACACTCGGTTAGGGTCAGGTATGTGCGATTTGATTCGAAATGTCGATTATAAAATAATTTTCGTTACTTGACGAAGAATCCATCGTGAAATTTACGGCGATGGTATCTAGGGCATTCCGCCGATATTCCGATACCTGGCACAAATACCGTGAAAACAAGAAATGTGAGAATAATTCGAATACTTGCGCGTCAAATATGTGTTCGCTGAGCTGGAAAATTAAACCTCCTAAGAAAGTCTTGAAGAGAACGAGAGGAGAGAGAGAGAGGAAGAGACAGAGAAAGAGAGAAAGGAAGAGAGAGAGAAGCGCACGTGTCCTTCTATGACGCAATTACGATGTCGCATTCTGCGAACGAGGATAAGTCGCGATAAAATCACGACGAGATTTCTTCATTCCTCCGCGGCCGCGACGTTACGTGTCGTTGCTTTAAATATAATACCTTACCGAAGTCGGTGAAAGGTGCGGAAGGTAATCGGACTTAAGTGCCCACGTACTCGATGCACCGGCTCGCGTCGATCCCCGGGTCGTTGAGAACTTCCGCGAGCGGAAAATATCAAGCTCGATCTCGAAGCTCGGGTCTCGTATTACACCAGTCGTAAATTCGAGTTTACAATCGCGCACGAACACGCGCATAATTGAATCGTTCTCTCGCTTATCTCTCTCACCTTCCGATCTGTCATCGATACTTACTACTCATAACAATTGGAAATTTAATGACAATATGTTACAGATAAATATTATTTTATAGATCTAATATATGAAATAAATAATATATGAATCTAATATCTAATATATGAATAACTAATATATAAAACTAATATATGAATAATTGTCAAGCATTCGAAGTATCGATCATCCAATTATCAAATTGGTTATCGAATCGTGGCATAAGACAAAAATTTTAGTCGGTACTGCTTACTTTAGCTATCGATAATTTCACAATTAAATGACGTGTGTTCAATCCTTCGTTAGGCATGCGATTTACAGATGTAAATTGAAGACTACCTGAAGTATCAAATATGATAATATTTACAAAATAATTAAAGAAACCAATTTTTTTATTTAGTTGATCCAATTAAATGGGTTGGTAAACAATTTGGTAATAATTACTGAATATAGTTTGACTATTACCAAAGTATTTTAGTCCGCTAATTTATCACATAATGTGATAATTATTGTGATAGTACTGAGCAATATGCTTTTATATTTTACAAATTGTTTCATGATACACAACACATAAATTCGTAGTAACTCGTAGTAATAGTCACGAAGTCTTAGCAGCTGATGTCAACTCTTGCCAAGATTACTTACTAATATCAAATCATTTGATTATATTCACTCACACGTAGTTGAAACTATATATTCCACTAAAGAGCGTCTGGTAACTATTACCCGGGTTTGATGGGTTATTGCCAAGCCTTTTTTTCAATGTATATCTACAGTAATGGTAAAGCAGGCGCCTAAAGTTGAAGATAAAAAAAAACGCACGCCCACAGAAGGGTCAATTAAATTTGATATTTGAATACTGAATGCGTTGTGTGCGCGAGAGGCCGCGTCTCTTCTTACGCATGCCCACGGCTGCGTAAGAAGGCGTTGCATCAAATATTCACGTTGTTTTAGCACGCGGCCGAGGAAGAATTCACGTGCCACGCACGGTTCATCGGAAAATCCCGTACGTGTGCATGGCGCGGCACTGCTAAATATAACAGTACCGTTTGTAACGTAATTAATGCAGCGTCGAGCTGAACAAACAGAGACACGCGTCGTATGCGAATGACTGTATTACCCCGACTGTATTAACCCTTCAGCTGCCAATTAGCGAATACCGCGTGCTTGTGTGCAGCTCGTACGTTTCAAAGATGTCGCGAGATCGCGTCGCCGGAACGCGGCGACAATTTTAAACGAAATACGCGCGCGGAGTGTACACGTGATTACTTGAAAAGTTACCGCACTTCGACGTAAGAGAACACGAATTTATACACGATACACCTGCTTTAGATTCGATTTTAATAAAAACGCGGCGTTCTTCTTGTTGCAAAACCCAGCAAGAAATGATCAGACTTTTCATATTGCTCTGAACATTTTCAAAAAATACGATTCCCTAAGAGCTGTAACGTATAAATATCAGTTCCTAGACGCGTTTCCTAATCCTGATCATCTCTTTATTATTTCGGTCTTTAAATACGAATATTTCAACTTTCAACATATAATATATGTATGTCCTTCTCAATCCTGATGTATTCAATATATACATATATACACACACACACACACACACACACATATATATATATTTTTTTACGTTGAAAATTTAAACATTCGTACTTAAAAACCAAAACAATAAGAATATTCAGGATTAGAATATGTCCGAGTACATACATGGGTATTTTTACCTTACTTTATACTTCGAAAATCGAAATTCTCTCCTCTCTCTCCCTCTCTCTCTTGCGAGTGACAAATCGTCGACGCGTTTATTGTCTTTTTTATCGTTCAGTTAATTGCTTGACGTGAGTGCCGTCATCGTCATCGTCGCGATGATCTTTCCTGTGTAATCCACGAGCAGCGCACTTCTTTATCGTTCATTTCCTCAGATGGGATACCCATTAAGCCCCGAAGATTTTCCTACAAATCCACACGTTAGGGCACTTAGAGAGACGCACCGATATGGCATTCCGATGATTCATGATTCGCGGTCGAACCGGTCTCTCGCCGCGGCGACGGGCCACCGCTGTGGGGTGCGGGACCCACCCGGGCATCCGCCTAATGCCCGGCTCGTGTTATTCACTTCCCTCTCGAACGGTACAAATTCCTCTTTCCAGAGCAAGGAGAGCCGAGAGAGCCTTTTATTATCGACGTGACGTGCCGCAACGGCGGCCAGCGGCGGCTAGAGTACTCGGTGAGTCATTCTCAGTGACTGGCTCGTTGTAATTCATTGCGACGATTGAACCCCCACCTATCGCGCGTACGCTTTACAGCGACGTTCACACCTAAATTCGCCGATTTGCAACTTTGCACCTTGCTTCTATCTCACTAGCGATCAATGATTAGAAGAAAGCGTTATAAAATGAAACCAGACACAAAAAAATTTTTTTTAATAAGGGAAAAGAGAGTAGACCAAAGGTTCCCAGACACGAAATTGAACAAATATTCAATATTGGGTGAGCCGGAAAATTTAATTCGATTTTTTACTACCTTTTCGCGACGGCAGACTGGCCGCATTAAGAAAAAAGTATCTCGTACTCGAGATTTTAATTTCATAATGAAATAATTATAATCAGTAAAATAATTTTGTGAGACTAGCATTTTTCTCTTAGTACAGAATACACAAGTGCTGCCACGACATTAACAGAGAATCATAAATAACAACGATTTATCACTAGATCGACGAATAATTTGTCTCGATCGAGTGAAGTAAAGTCAAATTTTACTAAAAATCGAATCAAACTTCTTGACTTATCTAATACGTTTTTCTATGTTTACTTCATACGGTTGGTTTATGACTAAACAAAATTGACGCGTGTCTCCGTTACATGTTAAGTGTCTGATCAATTGTATCTTAACATCGCGCAATTAAGTTATCGTCATAAATTCCGGCATTAATATGCAAGCGACAGATTGCCTCGTAGATAGCCTAGGAAATTATCAGAAGATCGAAGTCCCGTTCACGTCCCACGCGCGTCAATTCGCGACATTATCTACCTGACGTTTCACATGCGCGTGTTATTAATCGCGATCGTGGCATATGGCTGTAACTGTGCCGCGCGCGTTACACAATTCTTATTCCACTCGCCTGTAATCTGCCAATTACGCGGGATTTCTCAATACGTCTTTTCCGCTTTATGCATTATCATGCAGCCGCATATGTAACGAGATTAATGTACCGTCGCAGGCAGCGGAGACGGTTCCAAGTTGCACAGATTCGCAGAAACACTAATGCATACTCGTGTGCGCCGTGACGTAACATTCGATGGTCCGAGTACAGAGAGCACACGTCTCCGGGTCATTTCCTCATATGAAATAAATGATATTCAATCGCGACATAATCTTCATAGTAACAAAGTTCACCTCACGCATTCACAGCAATAAGTTTACGCTACAAGGAAATACTCTATGCATGCTTGTCACAACACAAGCGACTCTTGACAGTCGATGAATATCATTCGAAATATTATCATTCGATAATATTTAAACTTAATGTTCTAACAGATATCGTCATTAGCTGTGGAAATTTTTCAAATTTCCACGAAATTCACAGTGCAGAATAATGGAACGTTAAAAATCGATAATGACAGCATGTAGAGAATATTTTTTCAAGAACATAGATACATCTACTTTCTTGAAGGTGCGATAATACCTCCGAAGAAAAAAGTTGATCGCAATGTCGATAATTGGACACCGATTGTCACTGATAAAGTAAAATCACAACTTTTGCGAAACAACATTTGTCACGGCACACACGCTCGTTCCGGTGTGAACGCTCACTTAACACGGAGCTTTGCTCTCGGCATTTCGATCCGTCCATCCGAGAGTGGCACGCTCACTCCGTTCCCATCCTCGGCCTCTCGCCGCAGTATCTACCTGTTGCTCGAGCGGCGAAGACTGCGCTCTATCTACCTGGCAGCCGAGACTTCGCTCGTGACCTCGTGCATTCCTTTTTTCTTTTTTTTTTTTCTTTTTCGTTCTGTCCCGCGCGTAACATTGAGTGTCGTCAGAACTGTCACTAGCTCGATACGCGATCACGACCAACAGGAGATTAGAAATACCAGCTGCAATTCGTTATCTGCCTTATCGCGCGAGACGGTTGGGATACCTATATCGCGAGTTGTGAGCGACTCGAGTGTTTAGTCTATCTCTCTCCCTCGTCAGGAGTGCTTTCGATATTCCGTATGGAGTGTACCCGGGTTGCCTTCAAGTTGTCGTCAGTAGTGGCTCGAGACGCTTGGAGGTATTTCATCGCGGTAGTCCGCTCTCAGTGACTGCAATTAGTTTATTTGCATTCTTCCGTTGGGTAATATTTACGTCACGCGAGTTATCCGCGCGATCTGGACCGATGCTGTCATTTCATGAAGCGAGGTGGAAGCTACATTGCTACGATCCGCGACGTTACTACCATGTCACGAGGCCGTGACACCGTAATCGTCGCGAAGAAACGGATTTCCTCCGTGATTTTGCGTGCTCCCATTGGAGCGCGACGCAATAATCGGCGGAAATTCATCTGGTGAATTCCAGGTGATACACACGAGTGTTTCGAGAGCGACTGTGTGTGGTGCCTGCGAGGGAGTGATCAACGCTGAAGAACGACCGGATTGTTCGCCGTGGTATACCGGGTGACGGGGCGATAAGGTCGTGAAGATCGACCACGCGATTTCGTCCGAGGGTGAGAGTGGAAACACGTAAGTCATTGTCTCCTGTGCACGCGTCTCTTGTTCACTGCTGCGATATCAAACGATCGTCTCGGGCTCGAGGTTAAGCACCGAGATATGTGCGTTTTTCCACGATTATTAGGGACAGTTTGGAGGATAAAGATTTCGATCAGTGTTGTGTAACTCTTTCCGAATTTTAGTTGTCGCAAGATCTCTCGTAAGCGATCGGTTTTACGGGAGAATATTCTCTCGAATACATTCTAAAAGGGACTTGTGGCGTAGGAATTTTCTCGATAAGATCTTCAGACAAAAGAATACATATACAAGCTTTAAGGCCTTAAGCTTAATAAGGCTTAATAAGGCCTTATCAGAACAACATTCATTGGTCTTTATAATTGTTCTCATCTTATCTGGATATAATGTGATGTGATATGATATGATTTAGTTATGCTTTTAAAAAATGAGATCGATTAGCCGAATAATCAATAGTCACAATGTATACTCATGTCCAGACGATGTAAACGATTAAGAAGATCAGTGAATTTCGGCCGAATAAGTATTAATTTGTTAATATTAAAGTTTTATTGAAACTTTAACACAACATCGTCAATCGTTTTCCGTTAATATCTCGAAATTTCACGTGATTGTTTGCGAAATGAGATTCTTGCGCTCAGCTTGACATGCTCTACCTTGACATGTGGTTTTGTCAAATATCTTGTATATATCGCAACACCTTGGCAGAATGTATATTTCTCATGTCACTTAATTTTTTTCGCATATATTTTTCGATATTTTTTAATCTTCCATGATGTTGAATCTCGGTCTTACGTCGAGACCGTTTTTCTGAGGAATGATTGAGTCATATTTCCGCTGTACTCTTTTTATTTATTATCGTTCTCCTTTCGTCGTGCAGACTTAGAAAACCGTTAAAGCGAAAGAGTTTAATGTTCTGCGAGAAAAGGCACGAGCCGTGTCTTATTTAGGATAGAATAAGAAGAGTCAGGCTTGCGCGTGTTTCTCCATTTTGTTAGGAGAGTTTGCTCAGATGTCGGAGTAAGTTGGGACATCATTTGTTTATTTTCACAGCTGCGTTATATCGTACGTTGATCAGAAATCACTCGTCGAAGACAGAATGCTCAAGACACCTGACAGATGATTATCGAGCACAGGCGATCGCGCTGTAAATATTTGCTGAGTTTGCTCCGCTGAATGTGGTTCTGTGTATTTTAAATTCTTTCGAATTTTCTAGTTTTGAAGACGGCTTTTTAAAATCTTATCGGTGAACAATTTTATCTAAAATGTAAGCGAATGAGTAAGATATAAATAACAAACTCGTTCAATAGTATCGACAGATGAGTCCTACATCTTTTGCTTGAAGATAATAATTATCGTGATATGTTTATCTTTTAGATCTCGACCGCGGTTTGCAGCAGTTCTCAAAGGTTGTTAGTTTTACTTGTGAAATAGCCACTATATTAAAATAGGTGATAAAAAGTGAACGTTGATCGAGTCGATATTGATACTAGGAAATGATCATTAGTTTAGTAAATAATCGTTCGAAAATAATTTCCACTTTTTTAAAATAACTCGCAAATATTCGCTGAGAAAAATGAGACTCGAACCAAGGAGAAAAACCTTAAAAAGTATACGCAAAATCTGTTTTTCAAAATAGAACCTACATTTGTTTATTGATTTCATTACATGGAGAAAAGATACTTGAGAATTTATTAGTGAGATATAAAGTTTATTTCTGTGAATAAAATATATTCCGCAAATAAATTTTCAAGTATTTTTCTCTCAGTATGAGAAAGCGAAAGAAGGGACTGTATACACTTATATTTCTATTGATTTTCCTTCGTTTTCTTAGATTAACGACATTAATTTCCGTCAGTTTTCTGATGACCTTAGATACAAACGACGCAGATAATACAGAAGACACATAGCCTTATGTATACTTCAGATAACCGATAAAGAAGATGTTGCGATATTGTTAGCGCACAGAGCACAAACATGATGAAATTTTTCACTCAAGTCGCCAAGCGAATATTCCGATTTCTGATCGCGATTTAATCTTGCCGTCCTTTTGTGGCATGACGATTGCGTGAGTTCTGATTCGTGTGTTATCTCCGATCAAATATTAGCAAGATGCAATGCTATTTGCGTTGCAAACAGTCTCACTTGCCGCACTTGATTATCTCTCGGCATGATATCGCGATGTCGCGAGCTTCGCACGATCGGCCAGGTATTGCCGCGAATGTACGCGACAACAGTGAGTATGTCGACATATGCATGGAAGAAATAACTCTATTAGTGTAACTGAATTTTCTATTATCTGGGAACCAGATATGAATAATTTCTGTAAGAGATTTTTACTCACAATTAGCCTGTTGCTCTCACTAGTAAACCCACCCAAAAGATACACTCCGATTTCTTTCTAATTTGACACAAATGTAGAAGTATATGAAATATTTAGGTCATATTTTTTCATTTTGGTCCATTTTGAGCTTTACGGGCAGTTTATAGCTTTTTAATATTTTCATTCTTACCATTAACAAATACAACAATAATACATAAGAAATAAAATTGAATACAAAATATAATTAAATAATTTTACCAAAATTGGCATAGCTGAGACACGAACCATTCTAAATTTCTTTAGTCGAGATTCCAACCAAAATATTGTAAATCTGTGCTAAATTAATAAAAAATGGTTCGAATCTCGTCCAAACCGAGAAATTATTTTTATAAGTAGTTTTTTCAACTTTTTACATGACTTGTTTAAACATTTTATTATTTATACAAATAATTTTACACATTTGACTTCATATTCATAATCAGTAAACCAAAAACGCTTATATCTTGTATTCAATTTAATTTCTTATGTATTGTTGTTGCACTTATTGATGATAGGAGTGAAGACATTAAAAAGCTATCCGTGAAACTCAAAGTGGACTAAAGTGAAAAATATGACTTAAATATTTTTTGTACTTTTACATTTGTCTCAAATTAGAAAGAAATCGGAGTGTAACTTGTGAGTAGATTTACTTGTCAGTCACCTCAACCGAATTTCAATGCAATTGAATGTTCAAACGATCATATTAACAGAAATATTACTTCTCGTTAGCGAGTTTTTCAACTGATTCAGTTACACGCACTGAAATCTTTTCCCCATGCGAGAATGTCAAAATCTACAATCAATTCTATCGTTTCTCGCACTCATCGTTTCAACACCTTTTTCGCGGTTTTTCCGCTTATTTTATGCATTGAAAAAAAAGTACTTGAAAATTTATTCGCGAGATAAAAGTTTACTTCTCAAGAACAAACTTTATTTCATAGAAATCAACCTTATATTTCACAAATGAATTTTTAAATATTTTCTCTCAGTGCAATCGAGACAACGCGGTTTTTTATCTTCGGCAAGGCGGAAGTGCTTCTCCGATAAGATCCTCTTCGAAATCCTCTTTCGCGTCGTTCTGCACGGTGTCGGCGCGTTTCCGGGCGCATCTCCGGGAACAGATTGCGTCCTGGAATTCCGGAGCGCAACGGGTTATAGAAGCGCACGGGCATGAGCAAGCTTCGTCGTGCTTGTCGTCGTCGCCGTCGTCGCGACTACGTGAGACGCATAACACGCTCCTCGCCTTTTCTGGCTGCAGTGATTTTCCAGCAGAATCGCGACTTACGTGATCGGTTTCCGGAACGAAAGGAGGAATCCGCTCGCGCTCCGGGTGTCGACGGCCGTGCAATTGTCCGTCTTCTTTTCCCATGCTTTCCCGAACCTTGGATGTCAGCCAGTTAACGGTAGTGTCGCTTATTAGCCTCTCACACGCGACGCGTGTATTGTGGCATTTAAGTGAAAATCTCCCCCAACACCCCTGAATGAGAGAGAATCGTTCGTTTGCTTTCTTCCAACGTGTGCGAAAAGGAAGAACATTTGTTAACGTCAAGTATTGTTTGATAACATTTCATAGCCAAATATAGTCATTGGAAAATCCCGTCAGTTTGCAATAGTCGAATGAAACTTACATTTATTAGTCGTTAATTTAAACTTGTCTCATGTGAGATGTTAAGGTCTCAGCTTAGGTCCGTATTAATAGTCATTAATTGAAACTTGTCCCTCTCACGTAAAATATTCAGGTCTCAGTTCAGGTCTGTATTGATAGTTCTTAATTGAGACTTGGCTCAGATAACATGTTCAGATTTGGACCCGTACATAGTCGTCGTTATTTGAGTCTTATTTCACGTTAAGATCTTAAAGTAGGTCCGTATTGATAGTTGTTAATTGAAACTTGTCTCACGTGACATACTCGTACTAAAATATAGAATTAGATTTGAGTTCTTTTAATTGAATCATATGATATAAACACATTATATTATATTTATAATTGCGATTCAACTGAAGAACTCGCATTTAACTCCAAACTCAGAAGTGAGTGAGACAAGTTTCAAGTAACGACTGTAAATACGAGCCCTAAGACTTCTAGATGGACACAAGCAGATATCTACTTAGATACTCGGAAAGTAGTCTACAATAGATAAGTTTCAAAATTATATAATATTATTTATCATTGACACTAGAAATCCGATATTTTCAATCACTCTCTGTGCGGATATCGACAAGAGTTCTAATTACATTAGCTTCGATTAAACCTTCTTGATCTTAAAGCCAATTATTAGTTTGTCATCGGTATTATCTGAACCGTCTTCTTCGCGTATGATACACTCAAAGAATAAGCACAGGAAATCGTTAATGCCGATTGATCAGGAACATCGTGATCGTCGTTACAGTCGTCGGTGCAATTGACCCTAATTCGTCGCGAAATATCGTGCGTATCGTCGAGTCGAAGAAATTATCGACTTTGCCTCTCCGGCTTGTCCTCTCCCGGATAGAGAGATGCACTCCGCTCTCTTTCTCTCTCTCTTTTTCTGCCTCTCATCCGCGATGCAGATTTATGCGACGCGTTCGTTGCCATGGTTGAACGACGCGCATCCACGCCTATGCGGAATCGTGATTCATAGGAACGTGTCGGCAT